TTAAATGTTTACATCACAATAAATACGTACATTTATTTTATTAAAATTTTCAGTTGATGTTGAATTCTCTAAATATATTAATAATATTCATTTAGTTTGCCCTCCAATTATATTTAATCTTTATCTCATATGCAACATTAATAATTCTTCTTATAGATGCAGACTTATGTCACCTATTTACACAGAGTTTAGTCGAGTCAAAAATGCCATTACGTGGAATCCAATTGTTATGCCGTGCAATACGCAAAATACAACTTTTTGACAGTCAGCTGACCTCAATACACGCGGACCTTTGTCAATTATGTCTTCTGTCCAAATGTTTTAAACCAGCACTCGAATTTCTCGACATAGATGTCACAGGCATTAGTCAGGAAGGAGGTCAATTTGATTCAAAATATTTCCTATTATACTATTATTATGGTGGCATGATATATACAGCATTAAAGAATTACGATCGAGCATTATATTTTTTTGAAGTATGCGTTACGACACCTGCGATGGCAGTTAGTTACATCATGTTGGAGGCCTATAAAAAGTACATTTTGATCTCGCTGATATTACATGGGAAAGTATTAAATTTACCGAGATATACGAGCCAGGTGATCAACAGATACATCAAACCATTAAGCCAACAATATCAAGAATTGGCTACAGCTTATCTAGTTAATAGTTGTGAAGAAGTACAGAGCATTATTACTAAGTATCAGCAAGTATTTGTGAGGGATCATAACCTGGGACTCGTAAAACAAGTACTTGCTTACTTGTATAAAAAAAACATACAGAGGCTGACCAAGACTTTCCTAACGCTTAGTTTAAGTGACGTTGCGAGTAGAGTTCAATTATCGGGTCCTGTTGAAGCGGAAAAATATATTTTAAATATGGTGAGTTTCTATTATATGCCATCGCATATTGTGTAATAAATAAATAAATATCTGAAAACCAATAATTTTTTAGTCATAAATTTTTTGATAAATTTAATATTTTTCTTTCTAATATAAATATATTCTCTTTTTTTCTCTTAAAAAAAAACTTAAAATAAAGTTGATAACGTTGATAAAATTTTATTTTTTATTTTTTTTTGTCATTTTCCTTTAGTCACAAATAAATAAAGAGTCAATCTATAAAGTAATAAATAAAAGTTCGTTTTCAAATTTAGCTAATACTGTAAAGCATTACACACAATGTCTGTAAAATACAAATTGATATTGTTCATTAGCGAGTTATATTTTTTAGATTGAAGATGGCGAAATTTTTGCGACTATTAATCAAAAGGATGGTATGGTAGTATTTCACGACGATCCTGAAAAATATAATTCACCACAAATGCTTGCAAATTTTGAGAAGGAAATGGCAGCATGCACAGAATTAGACAAACGAGTATTAGAGATGGAAGAGGAGGTTGTCCTTACCCCGCAATATGTTCGCAAAGCTTGCGGACAAAACGATCAGGATGATCAAGCCGCTGGACCTGCACCGACAAATGTCACAAATGCGCAAGGTCAAATTAAACAAAACACCTACTCTATGTAACATATACATGTCGTTGTGTGTTATCTTTATTAAAAAATAATAAGAAATCACGATAAAAAATCTTGTTGAGAGTCAAGACTTTAATATCTGAAAGCTTGTTTTTTGAACGATGATAGTAATTAGAATATTTAATAAAATATTTTCGCGACTTGAATGTCGCCTATTTTGTAAACAATTTATGAATACGAGTTCGTTTATATATATTAGATTTTACATATAAGTTGAATTATAAGTTATAATGATATATGTACATATACGTTACAGAGATATTATTTTATTATCATTATTATTTTACAATCATATAAATTAATGTGAAAATATTCTACTATCAATATTATATTAATTATATAAAATTACAATTTATATCTTTATGAAATAATAATCATTCAATATTATTCATTTATCATAAAATCTCTGTAACATATAAAAACTAGATTTATATAAATGCATGATTATTTGCGCGTATCAAGTGGTCAGCTTTTTTAAAGTATTCTCTCACGATACATGTCCATTGTTGTAAAATAATAAATAATTCATTTTGTACAAGATAGTTCCAAATTGCTAGTCAGCTTGTAATATATCCAAACTTGATCATATCCAAGGCTTCATTATTAAAATTATTATATACATAACTAT